AAAAAAAAAAAAAACATTTAAAAAGAAATCATGTGGGGAAGAGGGGCTTTTCTATATCAGGTGGGCAAAGTACAATCTGAGGTCCAAATCTAGGCAAAGTTTTACAAATTTTTTAATACTACATAGCCATGCCCATGCATTTCAGAAGTATCTATAGCTATATGTCTGGCTTGTGTTTCCACAGCAGAATTTAGTATTTATGAAGACATATAGCTCATAAAGCCTAAAGTCTTTACTATATGGTCCTTTACAGGGAAGATTTTCTGACTCCTGCTTTGCATTAAAAAGGTACCTGACAGAGTCAAATGCAATGTGTGAACCTTTATTTACTCTGGTTCCAAAAAAACAAAAGCTTGGAGACAGGCAAGTTTTTTTTGTTGTTGTTTTTGTTTTAAAATTTCTTAACTTGTAGATATAAACGATACCTTTATTTATTTTTTTTTTTTAAATTTATATGGTGCTAGGGATCAGACCCAGTGCCTCATGCATGCTAGGCAAGTGCTCTACCACTGAGGTACAACACCAGCATGAGACAGGGAAATTTTAATGTAAACCATGTTGATTGATTTCAGGAAGTTAGTTAACTTGTTTTGTATGTGGTAATGGTACTGTGGCAATTGGGAGAATGTCCTTAGTTTTTAAAGATGCATTCTGTTGGAGAGAAATACCCTGTTGTTGTCAATCATTTATTTTCTAGTGGTTTAGCAAAATTGATAAATATGTAAATAGATGAAGCAAATATGGCAAGCAACCTGTATTCCCAGTGGCTCAGGAGGCTGAGATAGGAAGATCATGAGTTCAAAACCAGCCTCAGCAAAAGAGGCGCTAAGCAATTCAGTGAGACCCTTTCTCTAAATAAAAAATAGGGCTGAGGATGTAGCTCAGTGGTTGAGAGCCCCCAAGTTTAATCTCCAGTACCCCCCCAAAAAAAGGAAAACAATTGTTGAAATATGTGGCATTTGGGTATATGGAATTCATACTATTCATTTTTTCTGTATGCTTTATTAATAAAATCTGATTTTAAAAAGCAAGAACATGGTATTTATTTTGCTTTAATTCTGAGTTCTTTGAAAACTTCCAAGGTCTTTATGACATTCTTGGCCAACAAGTATTTGGGACACTCACTGTGGGCCAGGCACTCATTAGATAGCAGGGAGAACTTGAACAGAAATTGCAGCAGCTTCTGCCTATAAGGAGTTCTCAGAATGAACCTCAGACCTCCAGCCCTCCTAATGAGAAGACATGTTCTCATTTAAGTCCCTTCTTGAGGAAGGGGGAAAGCAGGGAAGCAGCAGATAGAGATCTCAAGTAAAGATGAGAATTATGAAATTATGCAAAGTAGACAAACGCTATGAAGTGTAAGTTGTGTTATGGAAAAGAAACCATCCTTCTCCCCTCTCTTCTAGCCACAAGATACTACACATTTAAAATTAGAAAGCAGCAGAGAGAGCAGAAGAGAGCCATACCAGGTAATTAATAGAGCTGGAAATACAGCAGCAACACATTGTACTCCATCTCCCCACCCCAAACTTGTCCCTGGAGCTCTGGCAATGGTACTGACCTGGAGAGCTTTTCTGTGCCATAAAAATGAAGGGAGCCCATCAGGTGCATTCTTGGGGCCTCATAAAGCTGCCTTTTTAACCTGAGCCAAGAAGGGTACGCCTTGGTTCCTAGCAGGGTTAAATGTGTCTGACTCCAGGAAAAGAATCAAGCAGACAACAAGTGCATCTATTTATATCTTAAAATCTGCTGGGCCAGCAACAAGCTAATAACCAACTGAACATGATGGAGAGGCCACAAAATGACTGTCAGAAAGGAAAGAGCCCTGCACTAGTGGTCAAAGAAAATAGTACATGTTGAAGTGCTGCATAAACCAAAAGTCACTATGGAATGTCCTTGCTATTGTCATGAACTGATTTCACCATCTATTAATTTGTGTCCTTAAACAAGTCAACCTGTGCCCTCTCGTTTCCCTATCTGTAAAGCAGACATAAATTTCTGTTTATCCAGGAAACAGATCATTTATGCAAAAGTTCCTTATAGGGTTGGGATTGTGGCTTAATGGTAGCATGCTTGCCTAGCCTGTGTGGGGCAGGCACCATATTAAAAAATAATTTTTTTTATTCGCAGCACCATATAAAAAATAAGTAAAAATGAAGATATTGTCCATTTACAACTAACTAAAAAATATTTTATTTTTTTAATATTTTTTATTTTATTTTTTTAGTTTTTGGCAGA